CTCTGCCCAATACCAGTTAGCTGCCTTGGACTCGGTGGAGCGTAAAGCAAAGAGACTTATTAACAATAATCCTCTTGTGGAGTCGAAGCTCCAAAATCTCGATCATCGCAGAAAAGTAGCCTGCTTGTCGGTTTTCTATCGGATACATTTCGGGGAGTGTGCGCAGGAACTTTTCAATTTGGTTCCGCCCTCACCGTTCCTCCTTCGGTCGACTAGAAGGTCCGGAGCACTCCATTCTTATGTCGTTGATATTCCACCCATTCGCTTTGCTTCCTCCTTTCTGATGCGTACGGCAAAGGAATGGAATGCTCTACTTTATATTTTATCTTTGTTTCCCGAAAAGTACGATTTGGGGCTATTTAAGGCTAGAGTGAATAGGCATTTTTTAGGCAAACGCGTCCCATCGTCGGTCACATCGTCGCTTAACATCAGGTGAGATTGTGGCCAAGCGTGTGTCTATTATATATTAAAAAAAAACTATAACTATTAATTGCGATTGATTAATATAATTCATAATGTAATTTATGTAATATAAATATAATAGTAAAACTTCAACGATAAGCTCTGCACAAAGAATCGAAAGTCTTTCGTATGCATCAGATAGACATACGTATACATTCTGAAAGCAGCCACAGAAGTACTTATACAAAAAACTCGAGCGAATATGAAATACCCCTAAAACGTCGCAGAGTTAAAGTCAGTTTCGCTCAAGGAGTAAAAAGAGTTTTACTCATTTCCTACTTCCATAAATTTGCAACACTCTTTAACGTAAGAACTTGGCAACACGACAATTCAAATAAATGGAAAAAATGGCTATTAGATCTTGATTATTAACAAACTGTAGACTTACTACCTATCAAATAATTAAAAATTCAATAACATACTGTCGCCTAATAAACACAACCAATTGCGTGCATTTTTTTTAATAATTCAAAGAATTAACATAAACATTCTTACTGTCTGCCCAACGTATATTGGACGAAAATAAATTACAACTGAAATGCCTTAACCTAATAATTAATTGTAAAAATGCATTAGCTTCTTCTAAAACATTACTTTGGAACAGTTACCTAATTGTATTAGATTAAACTTTCGCCAATGTATATACTAATTTACATTTCTACTATATATGTTTAATATTTAAAAGTTCTTTTCTATCCAGTTTTATGTATTAAACATAATATTAACGTCCTTTGGAGCAATGAATTTTACGGTATGTTAACCTAATTCACTTGGATTAATTCACCTGGGTGAATGAAGTACACTTTCAGTTAACTAAATCACATGGGTGCATCAAACATGATTTTACATAAATATTTAATTTCATTTCAAAATATTTCATTTCAAGTATTTCATTTCATTTCAATAATATAATATTGACATCTTAGACTTGGCATAGGTAATTTAAATGCCATGAAATGATAATATATTTTAAATTAAGTAATCTTAACCAATGAAAACAATAATTTCTTAGAAGTTTACATGAAAGTATTTGTTCACCATTTGTTTAACTTTGAACATCGTATATTTAACAAAAAAACGCAAGATCGTAACATACATTTAAACTGTCACAAGAAATGGCATCATCATCAGGCAACAAGTGCAACATAGTGACATAATTCACTACTTAACAGAAAAGAGCATCGTCGGCAACCAGCACACATAGCACACTAAGAAAAACCATTATGTATTAGTCATAAAAATTGTATAAATAGTAATAAGATTTGTAAATATCCTCAGTTATCCACTACCATCTGATTTTAACTCATCAAACTCATCATCCTGCTTGGTACTACCCGCTACTCCTCTCATTGCGGCCAAAATACCTTTAGCCATCAGTAGATCGATCTTGTGAGTCTGCTTGATCGGCAGTGAGAATACCATTCCAGTATACATTGCACGTGGTGTACTTCCTTACCTTCTTCCAACTATCCGTTTGTCACCTTAGGTCTCATGGTGAGAGACTTCCCGTTCATATCTTGCATATGTATTTCTCCATCTATATATTTATGGTTAGGTTAGGTTGTAGCGCTACACTATTAGATAAATTCATTGGAACGACCCTTGAGGTCTCACCGTTAGGGTTAATAGGGTAGTAGTATTTTTTATCTTAACTTTACCATAATTTCATGCACAGCAGGTGGTTGGTATTTGCTGCATACAACACCACACACTACATTGTCAGACTAGCACTACCACCACATTAATACCTAACCGCACGCTATTCATTTTGGTCCTTCGAGCCGGATTTTTGGTCCTTCGAGTTTTTAGTTTTGAACCTGCCATGGGACATTTTTTGGTCCTTCGGGTTTTACTTTGAACCTGCCGTTGTACACTTGGTACGTCGAGCTTTAAGTCACTAGCATTTAAATTAGCGGTCCTCTTTTCCCCCTAGCTAGGAACAACATTGACTGACAGACACTTTGACGTACAGTGGGCTAGCGTAATCAACAAGCGCTAGTTTCATTGCATATTAAAGTACCATAGCGCTTAACTGACATCGAGCGGTAGCGGTTCGGGCGCCGACCTCCCACCAGCGGGTCTCACCGGTAGCTTGAGAAGTCACATTATACCGTGTCGAGGAAATAGAATACAGTTAAGCGTTGACTTATACATAGAATAGGGTAATAGGCTAGGGAATATTAGGGATAGTAGGGACCGCAAGAAAGAAGAAAACGCAGCAAACCTATAACAATACAAGATAGAGGTAGAACGGATCAACGAACTAATCAAAAGTCAGGAGAGCACTACCATGAAATACGAAGATTACTAAGCAACATGAAAAAGGATTCAATACAAAGGAAGAACCTTCACTATGTTGAAGGAAGGAGAACCAAATTAGAAGAAATCCATGAGAGAATTCTCGCCAACCACCAACACCTAGAGGAGCAAAAGATCCTATCCACCCACAAATATATCACCAGCAACTATTTTGGAGTAATAGAACTTCATTATAAGGAAGCTATAAACTACCTAAACGAATGTGAGAAACGACTACAATTAATCAACGAATTATACCAACCAGAAGACATAGAAAAGGAAGATTTTGAAGGGGCTGATTCAAAATATTCTACAAAATTATTCATACAACTATTTCGCAATAATCAAATGAAGAAAAAATTACACCAAGCAACCCAAACCATTCAAGATAGTAAACCAGCTTGGTACCTACAATCACTATTGACAACCCTACAAAAACAATGGCGCAATATTGAAGAAACCCATCTACAAATATTAATGAAAGGCAGCAACGTACAACATAAATATTTTCCAGAAGACATGTTCGTAACAACCCAGACTGAATACGAACTTCTAACCGAAACCTTATTCACTAGAATGAACGAGAACAGAACTACGGAAAGTGCACACTACAAACCATCAATCAAACTACCTTAAATTATTATACCAACATCTGGGAGTTATGATATGTCATGGAACAATTTTTATGACTTATTTATCAAAATTATACACGACGATCGTTCGTTAACTGCAACAGAAAAGATGCAATATTTAAAAACACAAATTCGAGGCGACGCAGAAAAACTGATTAAGCCCTTATCTGTTTCCGACGCTAAAAACTAAATATGAAATAGCGTGGTATTTGCTGACAAAATGTTATAAAAATGACCGAATAATTAATTCAAAACTTATCGACAAGATTATACACATGCAACCAATAGAAAAAGGTACCGCAACGAATTTAAGATGTTTACATGACGCAATCAATGAGAATTTAGAAGCAATAAAGTGTCAAAACATCGACATGATAACCTGGGATCCAATTTTGACACGGATTCTAAGTAAAGTTTGGGACACTGAAACCAATGAGAAATACGAACAACAATTAGAAAAACCCAATAAAATGCAAGAATTTTCAAAAATGATTTAATTCCTGGAAAAAAGATTCAAATGCTTAGAAACAACAAATTCGTCAAAAGAATATGTAAACAATATAGTAAGGCGTGACATAACAACTGCATTCGCCCGCCCGAAAGGGATTATGATACCATGTTTACATTGCCGGAGCATTGAACATAATATCTACCAATGCACTGCTTTCAAAGCGATGACAGTACAAGAGCGGCACAAAACAGTCAATGAAAAGCGAATATGTCGAAATTGCCTAATGCACAACATATCAAAAAAATGTCATAATAACAAAACATGTAGTTATAGTGGAAAAACCGGCCATCACTCCTATTTACATGTAAATTACCAAAATACGCCGTCTTTTATGCAACAAAAACCAAAATACGAGAGTAATGAAAAACCAAGCGGAAGTAAAAACCACCAACTAACAACGCCAGGAGCGTCATCAAGTACCAAACCAACTAAGAAGATAACGTCCAACATGTCCATAACTATTGACCGAAATACAATAAAAAGTACACTACTGGCTACAGCCTTAGTAAAAGCTACGGCTGTTGATGGCTCAACGCATTTACTACGGGTATTATGCGATCAACGGTCAGAAGCCTCATTTTACACGGAAGAGGTAGCGCAATTACTGGCGCACCCTCGTAGCAAAATACAAACAGAAGTGATCGGTATAGCAGATGAGAAACCCAAAACCTCGAAATATACGATCAATATACAACTACAACCAAGATTTTCAAGCGAATATAAGCTACTAGTTACACTTATTATTCTACCTAAACTAACTAGGTTACTTACGTTACCCAAAACGAACCTACCTCCAATACAAGAGCACAGTTTAGAAAATAAATTGATAGCAGACCCAACCTACAACAAAAAGGGACCCATAGATATAATATTGGGAGCTCAGGAATATAGCAAATTACTACTTAACGGATTATACAAAATTCAACGTGGAATAATCGCTCAAAACACCGAATTGGAATGGATTCTATCTAGAGTTTGTGGTAACACCAGTAACCAAATGAAATCCCTCAGTATGTTAACACGAACTAACGACATACAAAAAATAAACAAGTTTTGGGAATTAGAGGAGGACCCACAGACCCATCAATTATCTAAAAATGACCTACTGTGCCAAAATTACTACAAAGAAACTACAGTACGGAACATGCACAGTACGATTACCATTCAAGGATCCTAATGTGGAATATGGAAATACTCGACAAGTAGCTGCAGCAAGATTGACACAGTTAGAACGAAGGTTTGCCATGGATACTAAATTACAACAAAAATACCAAGAATTTTTAGATGAGTATCTAGAAATGGGTCCTATGAGAAAAGTACACAAATCTGACTATAACCAAGGCAAATACTACATTCCTCATCAACCAGTAGTAAAAGAAGAGTCGCTAACTACAAAACTGAGTAATAAAATAAGCCTAAATAACAACATGTTAACTGGTCCCAGAATTCAACAAGATCTAGTAATAATATTACAACTATGGACGAATGGTTCAGAATGGGATCAGCCTGTAGATGAAAAAATTAAATTAAAATGGACAAAAATACAACAACAACTAAAAACGATTGATAACATAAAAATTCCAAGGTGGTGTTATGCAACGCCAGGCAAAAAAGTAGAACTATACGGATTTTGTGATGCGTCAGAGAAAGCTTACGGTGCAGTAATTTACTGCCGAGCGCAGGATAGCGATAAAACATACAGGGTGACACTTTTGCAAGCAAAATCGAAAGAAGCACCAAACAAACAAAAAACTACTCTACCGAGGTTGGAATTATGTGCAGCATTATTATTAACTCAGTTGATGGAAAAAGTCATCAAAGCTATGAATTTCAATGAAGGGGAAGTATATAGTTGGACAGATTCAATGATCACGCTTGATTGGATTAAAGAAGAAGCCGATAGATGGAAGACCTTTGTAGCCAACAGAGTATCAGAAATACAAAAACTACTACCACAAGCAAAATGGAACCACGTGATAACTAATCAAAACCCGGCTGACATAGTCTCCTGAGGAACCGAATGAAAAAAAATTACAAGAATTACCTTTATGGTGGAATGGTCCTAGCTGGTTGAATAATGAGGACATACCTACAACAAAGACAGTACCAGAAATTTGTGAGGAAATAAAAAGAAGCCACCATACAACAAAAACGAAACGAAAACCAAATATGGGATAGATTTTTAAGCTATCAAAAGATGATCAGAGTATTATCGTACTGTTACAGATTTCTTTACAAGGACGGTAGTAACAAATCATTAAATGCGAGGAAATCGAGCGTACTAGCAAACAAGTACTATTATTAGTAGGTACAACAAGAAGAGTTCCAAGAAGAATATAATGCCTTGAAAAAAGGAAAAATGTTGAAAAAAGGAAGCAAACTGACAAACCTGGATCCTTTCATAGATACCGATGGATTATTACGAGTAGGGGGCAGATTACAAAACTCTAACCTACCATGCGATCAGAAGCACCCAGTGTTGTTGCCACAAAGCCATCACGTGACGTTACTAATCATACGCGACGCTCACTTGAAAACATTACATGGAGGCAACGGTTTGACCTTGGCGTACATACGGCAAAAGTATTGTATAATATTGGGTACTTGGAGGAAAAAGAAAAGTTAACAGTTACATTACCAAATACGTAGAATGTATACGTTATAAATTGAAAACAGCAACTCAAGAAATGGGTGAATTACCGAGAGCCAGTGTAACCAAATCCTATCCATTTAGTCACACTGGAGTAGATTACGCAGGTCCTATTCAAGTAAGGGCTATGAAAGGTCGGGGACACGAAGCCTATAAGGGATATATAGCAATCTTTGTTTGCCTATCCACAAAGGCAATACACCTGGAATTGGGGGGCGACTTATCTACTGAGTCGTTCATTGCTGCGTTACGACGATTTACAGCACGAAGAGGCCCAGTGTCACACATCTACAGTGATAATGGAACTAATTTCGTTGGAGCCGCTAATTTCTTAAGCCAAGAGCTACTTCAAATTACACAATCAAGTGAGTTCCAAAATGCATTAACTACCATAGCAACAAAATGGCATTTCATTCCTCCATCTTCCCCACACTTTCGTGGAATTTGGGAGGCAGGAGTGAAGTCAATGAAACACCACTTACGCCGAGTCATAGGAGAACAAACATTAACTTATGAAGAATTGAATACGTTCCTTCACCAAATCGAAGCATGTCTAAACTCAAGGCCGCTGTGTGCACAAAGTAAAGACATGAACGATAACGTCATACTAACACCAAGTCATTTTCTGATCGGACGAGAGGCAGTAGGAACACCTGATCCGATGGTAAACATCAGCACTGATCATGTGAACAGATGAACACAAATACAAAAATGAAGAGGGCTTTCTACTACATTACCATTTACTAGAAAAACAATCAAAATTCGAAAGAATTACAGAGTACTTGTCAGAAGTGAATAAAACTCGCAAGAAGAGAGGTTTATCGGGCCAGTTTCTCACATTCGTCTTCGGTGTAAATGATGAAGTTTACCGGGACGTAGACACATTAAATAAAAACCAAGATAAACTTATTGAAGCTGCTAATCACCAAACAAAATTTATGATATCGACTATTTCACAAGTAAACCAAACAGAAGAAAGAATAAGCCAAAGAACAAATTAAATCAAGTTATAAATAATTACATTGATATAAACAACCATTGGTATTCCACTATAGACAACAATCACATAAACATTCAAATAATGCAAACATATCTATTAGCCGACAATTACATAACTGAAATAATTGATTACTACTCAGGCATATTAGAAATTTACTTAGCGAGAGCTACAATACACAGTGTGCAGACACCGAAGAACGTCAGTGACCTTATAATGTCAGCAAATAAGAAACTACATCGAATCTAAAAATAAATCAACAATTACTTTTAGATACCAAAATAGTAGAAAACAGAATCCACATTCAAATTTACGCATACTTTCCTATACAGGAAACGAATGATTTTACGTTGATTCACGTCACTCCAATACCTAAGAAAAATAGCGTCAATTCGTTCAAAAGTATAATAATATTAAATACCTACATCGGGTTAGATTACAACAATGAGTTATATTTTGAATTAAAACACGATGAATTTTATAATTGCTCACAAAAATCAACACAATTTCTTTGCTTTCCTAGAGCGGTGAAGAACATGCAATTCAACGAAAATTGCATTGTTGACCGACTTTTTAAAAATAAAACTTTTTACAAAACGATTTACAATGTCAAATAACATAATATGGAAACAGCTACACATGCAGAACGCTTGGCTTTTAATTGTCAAAGGTCATGTTACTACATCAGTAATATGTGACGGCCAAAGGGAAGAGCTAGAATTACAAAACATTGGTGTGATACGAATATCCAATAACTGCATAATTAAAACATTAAAATAACATTCTAGCTGCTAAAAATACATTTCAGTACAAGTTGTAGCTTCTTATACCAAATATGAAAACTTTTCCATTGCATTACACACACAATTAGATAACACGGTTTGGAAACAAATTAGCTCTCATACATACATAACTGGTTTCGTTTCTTAAATTAATTATTTTAGTTATAATTTTACTCATACTTTGTTATGGTTCCCAGATCGTGAAGTGCAGCCGAGCAGTGGTGCGTAGCAGTTCTAGACACTCGAGCGAGCCCACAAAAGAGCAACTTCCGCGCCCGCATCCAACTACAATATATTCTACTGAAGCCACGAAGCCAATCAACAAAAATACAAGACAACCAACTACCACAGATGACAGTATTTACAGCCTACAGTTGAAACAGACAATCCAACATCCAAAGAAGATCAAAATGAAAATATAGAATTACATCAGCTGGAGTTCTGTTCCTGAGAGATGGCAGAATGTTCAACTTTGAACATCATTTATTTAACAAGAAAACGCAAGGTCGTAACATACATTTAAACAAGTGCAACATAGTTCACTACTTAACAGAAAAAAGCTTCGTCGGCAACCAACACACATAGCACACTAAGAAAAACCTATCATTATGTATCGAGTTCTTAGGTTTTCGCGATTGTTACACATAGGAAATGAAACTATTTTTCCGGATTTAAATCGCGTATACAACAAACCGTTTGTTTGAAAAGACAAATATACGCGATTTAAATCCGGAAAAATAGTTTCATTTCCTATCATTATGTATTAGTCATACAAATTGTATGTATATTTCTCCGTCTATATATTTATGGTTAGGTTAGGTTGTAGGGCTGCACAATTAGATAAATTCATTGGAACGACTCTTGAGGTCTCACCGTTAGGGTTAATAGGATAGTTTATATTTTTTATCTTAACTTTACCATAATTTCATGCACAGCAGGCGGTTGGTATTTGCTGCATACAACACCACATACTACATTGTCAGACAAGCACTACCACCACATTAATACCTAACCGCTCGCTATTTACCATTATTGGTACATTTTTGTGATAGATACCATAAACCATTATTATTTATTTGTACACCAAATTGTAAGATATCATTTTTCATTTCAATTTATTTAAATTCAGATGCCAAACAAATGCCAGAATCTTAAATTTATTGTGTTCTATAGTATTTACTTTATATTTACATATTACTTGGATGCACTATGCCATCTATTACAGACGAGCTGAAATCAAGTAAGTATATAATACCAACTCACCGGCAGAACACTGTCTGCTCACAGAAGCACACCAATTCTAGTCTCCGTTTGCCATCCGAGAGACACGGTCGACCGAATGGATGAATTATTGAATATAGCTTGCCATACAAAGAACACGGCTCTTAGCTGCCATTTGTACCTCGCGGTACACGGCCTGCTCTCCTATGACTCTTTCACATGTTGAAACGCGCAATATAATGGCTACCGTTTGCCACATACGGGACACGGCCTGCCCTCCTTCCAGTCATGTGATGGCTACTGTTTGCCACCCGCGGGACACAGTCTGCCCATGTTAACATTCTCAAGTCATATAGGCTACCGTTTGTCACCCTCGGGACACGGCCTGCCCATAGAAACATGGATACCCTTACATTTTTGCATCTGGTAGCATCGCTTGGAACCGATCTGCTCTCACACTCTCACTTTACATTTAAGTATTCAGTAGTTTATCCATCTAAGAAATAACAGTCAATTAGTAGATGCAAACATGTAACCAAAATACCTGTTCTTTATTATCATTACAAAACAGTATTTTTTTTAAATATCGTATTCTATTCTTGTATGTACCGAGGGCCACACCAAAAGATCAAAAATTTTTGTTGAAAATCGTACCTTACGTTATTTACACAACGGTTAAGTACCAACTTTAAAAAAAAATAACAGTTTCAAATCCAATACATTCGCAAGGCAGCTCTAATAGCCAGCCTCGCATCCAAAAGCGCACTGAGGGCCGCAGCCGTAGCAGCCATTCTCGGAGCTCCCTGCGCCGTGATTTACAGGTAACATTGCAAACCCTGATAGGGCTAGTAATTATCTGCCGTATTTAAATAATTGCTCTCCTGAATCCAGTCTCAATCTTCTAGTTCACGCTTTGAAATTGATTGCTCCTGACTCAGATAAAATAAATTCTTTTAATAATACCATACCTGAATTTGATCCAGCAAGAAAAGAGCAAACAATGGCTATGTGGCTGCATAAAGTTAATGAATGTGCATCCATTTATAGCTGGTCAGAGAAGCAAATAGTACACTTTGCGCTAATTAAATTAAAGGGTGTTGCTGAGAGGTAGTACGAAGGTTTACCATCGGTTCTCTTTTCTTGACCGGAGTTGTAAACAAAACTTTTGGCGGCATTCCCATTTGATGGAAACTACGGTCAGATGTTGAGCGATATGTTAGCTAGGCGTGCTCGTTTCAATGATTCATTGGAGGACTATTTTTATGATAAAATAGCTTTAATCAATCGTTGTAGCAATACCGGAAAACGAGCAGTCGATTGTGTCCTCCATGGTATCGACGATCGAACGGTTCGGTTAGGAGC